CTCAGGAGAAACTATATGACCAGAGCCTAATGTGTTGGGTTTCATGGAGCCTCCCTGACCTGGGGGGAGGGAAATACCCAATTCTGGGCCCCTCTATACATTTTGTCTGGCTGAACTAGGGGAAATACTCAGAGGCATTCATGAAATTCACATCCCAGTGGCATAAACTCACTAAAACAGCTAATCATAGGACTATACAATGCTGCTTCTCCCTGACCCCTCACCCCCACACCACTAAGGGCCTACTTACCCATGAGCCTTCTAGCTGGTACATCAAGTTCAGCTTTCAAAACATTGCAAGGCATACTAAGAGCCAAAAAAACACAGACTGAAGACACAGAGCTAGCATCAGAACCAGGCCCAGACACGGCAGGGGCATTGGAATTATCAGACCGGGAATTAAAACAACTATTATTAATACGTGAAGGGCTCTGATGAAAAAAATGTAACATGCAAGAACAGATGGGTTATCTAAGCAAAGTGATGGAAATTCTAAGAAAGAACCAAAAGGAAATACTAGAGATCAAAAACACTGTAACAGATATGAAGAATGCCTTTGATGAGCTCATTAGCAGACTGAACACAGCTGAGGAAAGAATCTCTGAGCTTCAGGATATGTTAATAGAAGCCTCCAAAACTGAAAAGCAAAGACAAATAGTGTTAGGAGTTAGTTGGACAGTTGGGTAGTCAGGGTCAGAGTCCCCAACAAGAAAATATGGAGTCAGGACAGCTAAGATAGAACAGCACTAACATCCTGTGTGCAGCTTCGACAGGACCACACTGGCATTCTGTTTTGCAGCCTTTGCAGAAATGACTTCTACAAAACGTCCTAAAATAAAACAATTAGCCACAGAGCATTTGTCACTATCACGAGCAAGGGGCGGTTAAGACAAAAGCCCCCAGATGTCAGCCCAAAAAGACTATCAGCACGTAGACATGAACCTAATAGGTAGAAAAATATGTGATCAAAGCCCTGATTGGCATGACTCAGCATGCCCTGGTTGCTTAAGATCATTCTGCAAAAGAGCTCATAAAAAACCCTAAACTTAGAAACTCCCAACAGCAACCCTCCCGGGTCCCCTCCCTCTTCAAGAGCTTTGTACTTGTGCTCAATAAACTTTGCCTTGCCGCCCACCACTCTTCGTCTGGTCTACCTCTTCATTCTTCAAAGCGGCATGACCAAGAACTGCAGGTGCTAAAGGAATAGAAATCCTGTAACAAAAGGACCGACAAAATAAATAAATAAAACAGAATATCCAGGGACTGTGGGACAACTGCAGAAGGTGTAACAGATGTGTAATGAGAACGCCAGAAGGGGAAGAAAGAGAGAAACAAAAAATATTTGAAGCAATAATGACTGGGAATTTCCCCAAATTCATGTCACACACCAAATTCCAGGTCCAGGAAGCTCACAGAACACCAAGCAGGATACAGGACCACAAAACAAACAAGCAACAAAACACACCTAGGCATATCATATCCAAACGGCAGGAAATCAAAGGTCAAGAAAAGATCCTGAAAGAAGCCAGAGGAAAAAAACACCTAACTTATAAGAAGCCAATATAAGAATTACATCTAACTTCTCCTCAGAAAAATAAACAAAAGAGAGCAGACTGGAATATTTAAAGAGTTGAGAGAAGGAAAAAAAAAAAAACACCAGCCTAGAAATCTGTACCCCGTGAAATTATCTTTCAAAAGTGGAGGGGCACGTGGGTGGCTCATTCGGTTAAGCATCTGCCTTTGGCTCAGGTCATGATACCAGGGTCCTGGGATGGAGCCCCACATTGAGCTGCCTGCTCAGCGGAGAGTCTGCTTCTCCTTCTGCCCCTCCCCCGATGTGTGCTTTCTCTCTCGCTCTCTCTCAAATAAATAAATAAATAAATAAAATCTTTAAAAAAAAAAAAAGTAAAGGAGAAATAATGACTTTTTCTGACAAAAATTAAGGGAATTTTTTGCCAGTGGAACTGCCTTGCAAGAAATGTTAAAAGAAGTTGTTCAGAGAGAAGGAAGATAATACAGGTCAGAAACTCAGATCTACATAAAGAAAGAGCATCAGAGAAGGAAAAAGTGAAGGTAAATAAAAACTTTTATTTTTCGTATTCTTAAATGATATAACAGGTAACACTTTGTTCAAAATAAAATAGAAACAATGTATTTAATTCTGTGTGTGTGTGTATGTGTGTGTGTGTGTGTGTGTGTGTATATATATATATACTTACCTATGCTTATGGATAATGATAGCAATGATACAAGGAACAGAAGGAAAGAATCAAGAATCAGGATTATTTTGTTATTATTTAAGGTAGTTGCACTACCCATGAAGCAGTACAGTGTTATTTCAAGGTAGACTCAGATTAGTTGTAAATATATATTGCAAACTCTAGGGCAACCACTAAAAAAAGTAATTGATAATGCTAAGAAAGGAAAGAAAATAGAATCATATAAAACATTCAATTAAAACCACAAAAGGCAGAAAAAGTGGACAACAACATAGGAAGATAGGAACAAGGACCAAGAGCAAAAAAACAGAAAACAGTAACAAATATGGCAGATATTAATCCAACTATATCAATAATCATTTTAAACATCAATAGTCTATATATGCCAGTTAAGACAGAGATTGTCAAAATGGATCAAAAAATAAGATCCAATTGTATGCTGTCTATAAGAATCCTACTTTAAATATAAAGGCACAGATAGATTAAAATAAAAGAATGAAGAAAGATATACCATGCTAACACTCAAAAGAAAGCAGAAGTAGCTATATTAATTTCTGACAGACCAGACCTTAGGGCAAGAAAAGGTAGCATGGATAAAGAAGGGCATGACATGATGATAAAGGGGTCAATTTTTCAAGAAGATGTAACAACTCTTAATCTGTATGTTCCTAACAACAGAGCATCAAAATATGTGGGGTGAGAACTGAGAGAACCGCAAGGAGAAATAGATGAATCCACTATCAAGTTGGTGACTTCAACAATCCTTTATGAGAAATGGACAGAACCAGCAGGCAGAAAATCACTGAGGACGTAGCTGAACTCAACACCACCATCAATCAACTGGATATGACTGACAATCTATAGACTACTTCATCCAACCACAGCAGAATACATGTTCTTCCAAAGCTCACCTGCAACATTCAGCAAGACAGACCACAATCTGGACCATGAAACATACCTTAACAAACTTAAAAGAACAGAAGTCATACAACTCTCAGACCACAGTGGAATTAAAACTAGAAATCAATAACAGATAGTTCTAAAATCCCAAAATACTCAGAGATTAAACGACGCACTTCTAAATAACACAGGGGATCAAAGAAGAAATCTCAAGAGAAATTTAAAAATATTTTAAATTAAATGAAAATGAACTTATGCACATTTGTGGGATGCAGCTAAAGCAGGGCTTAGAGGAAGATTTATAGCATTGAATGCATATATGAGAAAAGAAGAAAGATCAAAAATCAATAATCTAAGTTTCCACCTTACAAAACTAAAAAAAAAAAAAAAGAATAGCAAATTAAATCCAAAGTAGGAGGAAAGAAAGAATAAAATTAGAGTAGAAATCAATGAGACTGGAAATAGAAAATGACATTTGAGCAAAGACTTGCAGCTAGTGAAGGAGCTGCCACACAAGACATCTCAGACGAGGGTGAGCCTGGTGTGCATGAGGAGCCTGCACCTGGCTTGAGTAAGAGCAAGCAAAGCCGAGAGCAGCACGGAAGGACGCTGCTTTATTAACCAAAAGCAGCAGTAGGGACAGGGAAAGCGCAGGCTGTGTACCAAAAAGTCTCCTTTAGTTTTCTTTCTATGATATACTGAGCCCACATCAGGACCAAAAGCTATGCTTCCAAGTGCCTTTCCTACTCTAACGTGAGACAGGGGAATGCTCCCATCCCCACTGTTGACAGAAGCTTTGGATGCCGCGAGGAGATATCTGTAGTGAGCTCATCTGACATTCAGGGCACCGAATGTGAGCTGTCCCATGCTGGCCGTTCCTCACGTAGGAGGCTGGGTGGGAGCCAGGCCAGAAAGGACTCTGTCCTCTGAGCAAGGGTCAAGAACTGAGTGGCCATCACCTGGCAGACAGACAGCTTACGTTGTCATCTCTGGGTAGGATGGAAGTTTGCCATGTGCTAGGGATAACACTCTTCACTGGTCCACCCAGGCTGAATTGACAAAATGAAGGCCAGGCACCATCGAAGGCAGATAATATGGGATTTGAATGCAGAAACACCAAAAACGTAAGAGTGACTGCAGTGCATTAAGCCTAGGGAACCACCTTGTCCAGGCTTCCCAGCCTCTCATTTGTCCCAGCAGCAGGGAGAATACCATCACCACAGGTTCTCCTTACGACAAGGGTTAACAGAACAGCAATAAATTCAAGTACATTTATTAACCTGGAAAGACGTTCATGATTATATAAAGTGAAGAGAAGGTAACACAACCACATTAAATGTACACGTTGATTCTTAGATACATTTGAACTTCATAAATATTAACTATGAAAAAATGTATTTACGAGGCTTTAGGAAATAGCATATACTTAACAAAAAGAGTTAAAGAATGCATACAAAAATTATAACAAAGCCATCTGGTTAGTGGGATTACAGGTGATTTTTGTTTGTTTCCTATTTATTATCTTTTTTTCCTCTAATAATATGCATTGCTCAAATAATGGAATTATAAGTAAAAACCCCTTCATGTATACAGCACTTCTAGCTCCTTCCCTACTCCCACAAGACAGTGAATTGACACCTGTAACCTCGATAAGCTCGAACAGAGCTGTTTGCAGTCTCCTCTTATAGACGGGAAAGTCCAAAGCTCAAAGGAGTTATGTCACTTTCCCCAAGTCACACATCATGGTGTGTAGCCCAGACAAGACCTGAGTCTGGGGGTCCTGAAGGTCCCTTCCAAACCACACACTTGCTTTGTGCCATCTTCTTAGCCCACAGACGCCAGGGAAGTGCGGTCTGAGCAGAGCTAGCTCCCCGCCCTTACCTCGGCCAGCCGGGAGTGCTTGTGGACATTCTCGCCTTTTTGCACGCTGGGAGCCAGCTGCTGCAGGACGCCCCTGCTGCTCGTCAGAGCTCTGGTCAGCCGAGCAAACTTCCCCCAGCCTGGAGCATGCAGAGGAGAGAAAAAACAGTTTCAACCCTGTCCTGAACGTCATGGACATTCACACCACCAGTTACACTGTCGGAAGCACACACACCCATTGTCCTCCTGGGCTCCCGTGAGTCACTCCGCATTCCTCCCAACCCAGACTTGCTGCTCAGAAAAGCGTCTAGACACACTCAAATTTGTGTAGCAATTTACTTTTCCCTGCACTTTCACTTTGTCCTAATCATAGCTTTGTGACATATGTAGGGCAGGTTTCAGTACTGTTTTACAAATGGGGAAACTGAGGCACAGGGTGCCTAGACAGTTACAAAGAGTCCAGAACTTTCCACTCTGGCCCAAAGCTTTCCGGCCAGATAATACCAGGTAGTCGAGATATTTCTCTGACTTTGGGACTGGGCTCGGGCTGCTCCCAACCCCCACACAGTCTGATCTAGTAGAGACTGAGCTGGTTCCAGGGATGGCAAGGACAAGCTAGTTAAATGGCCATCCCATGCATTACAATCTCCAAAGCCAGGGGAATAAGAAATGAATCTAACCCCTGGGTAGGTGGGGGGAAAGCATGGGCATATTTTAGTCTGCTCTGGGATGGGGGAAGGACCATTGGTGACAGGTTCCCCAAATAACAAGAATCCCAAAGAGCCCTAGTACTGAACTTGGATTTTTTTAAGGTCTCTTTCAGAGTTAGGCTCTCTTTCAGCTCAAAACAAAGCTGGAATTGAATTCTACAGAGCTTTTCAAGAACAGAAGGTATATTTTCAATCAGGTAAAACACAGCTGTGCATGCAAACGTCAGCAAGGGCTCTGCAACCCACCCCCACCCAACCCACCCCTCCACCACCACAACCCACACTCCGAGACAAATGATAAGAAGGAGGTGGCAGGACAGATGACCCTGCGTGGCAGGGAGCTCAGGGTCCTGGTCCCATAAGCTGATCTAGCACAAGGGGTGAAAAGAAAGATCCTTCGACCTATGGGCATTTCTCCAGGCTCAGGCTAGCCTCCCGCTCTCTGGGCTAGCCCTGAAACCTTTCCAAGAATCTGGCTCTCAAAGGAGCTGGCTTTCCACTACCTGAGCGGAAGGCGTGGGAAGATGAATGGGTGTTGGACAGGGAAATGGACACACAGTGTAAAATTCTCCATCACACCTCTACCAGGACAGCACAAAATGTGCAAACTAGCAGTCGGCTAAAAAGTACTCACTGGATCCTTTCTCCATTCTCAGTAAGGACAACCACGTCCCCCTTCCTTGACCATCACAACGGTTGCTGGCTTCAACAGGGGCAAGCCCCTCACTAGGTTGCTTTAGCCCACACAGCCCTGTATCCTCCCTCAGCCAGAAAAGAGGATGCTGGGATGAGATGAAATTCCAGTTGCTCCAAGGATAAGTAAGTCTGGGAATAGGAGAAAAGACAGACCTAGAGGCCCCTCCCCTTGGAAAGCATTGCCAAGTCGTTTTGAGTAGAAGCTACAGAGGATGGCTATCAGGGGTCTTGACCTCAGCGGGAAGGCTGTGAGGCCAGGCTGGCCCTAACCTGCAGAGTCACAGATTCTCTGAGAGGAGCTGGTGCCGTACCCCAGCGTACAAAAGAAAATAAAGGACACTGGGGACCAAGATGGACAGTCAGTGTGGACACTGCCTAAGCATCCTCAGGTCCTGCTCCCCTGATCTTTTCCCTGTCAGTGTAGAAATAACCAAAACTCTAGGTGGCTTCTTCAAGGAGCAGCCACTAAATCATCCCCTTTCCGTCATCCTAAGGGCAGATAGCTAAAATGTTAGTATGGAGGGGCCGAGGGGACCTGTGGCTTCTATCCACTGCCCAGATTCTTTCCTAAGAGTACCTTGCAAATATCGCACAGGAAGACATATGGAGAAGGGTCTGCAGTTGCAACAGCTTGCCAGAGTCCTCATCCCTGCACATTCTCAATCTTTGGCCTTTAAAAATCTCCTCTGGAGTGTTACATTCCTTTTGTGATCTGAATCTGGCTCAAGTTTACTATGTAGAAGTAAATACATGGGTCTTTAAAAATGAATTCACTCCTTTAGTGTGAGATTATTTGGTGGGGTAAGAGACAAAACAAGAGGGATGACTCATCCTCATCCTTTAGGGAACAATGTAGAGAGAAAATTCTGAGCCTTACCATCTAATTCCTCTCTACCCATGTGCCAAAGCCTCCTAGCTCAAAGGGGAGAATAGGACAGAGAAAAATATCCTGCAGCCATTACCAATTATCCATAATAACAGAAAAGAAAGTGAAATAAGTCAATCAGAGAAAGACAATTATCATATGATCTCACTCATATGTGGAAGTTAAGAAACAAAACAGAGGATCACAGGGGAAGAGAGGAAAAAATAAAACAAGACAAAATCAGAGAGGGACACAAACCATAAGAGACTCTTAATCATAGGAAACAAACTGAGGGTTGCTGGAGGGGCGGGGGTGGGGGGATAGGGTAACTGGGAGATGGACATTAAGGAAGGCACGTGATGTAATGAGCACTGGGTGTTAATATAAGACTGATGAATCACTGACCTCTACCTCTGAAACTAGTAATACATTATATGTTAATTAATTGAATTTAAATTTTTAAAAAAAGTAAGACACACACACACACACACACACACACACCACCAGAGCTGCTACCAAACAGCAAATCTAGCTTGACTTCCATTTCCCAGCCCACACCATCTGTGGACACCTTTTGTCAGAGAGCAAGGGAAGCAGTCAAAAGATGGACAGAAAAGAGAAGATGAGGAGGTCAGGGGCCTGGATCATTCATAACAAGGAGCTTGAGAACTGACAGACCAAATGAAAAAGGGGCCTCAGGGCAGCCCAATCACCTGCCGAAGGGGAGTTACTTTGTGTCCGATGCTGAAATAGTCCACAGCTGACTATCCCACGTGTTTACCACTTTGTGGGTTGTCTGTGGGAAAATGTGCTGCACCAGCTGGCTTCTCCTGTCACTACTGGATGCACTTAGCCCAGGCCCAAGCCCCAGAGGGAGGCACTGCGTGATCAAGGAACACAATGTCATTTTAAAGACAATTTGAGCACAACTGACTAAAACAAAGGACGAATCTGATGGTGGGAAACATCTCGTGCTGCTATGCCAAAGAGCGATTATCCGGGCATTTCTGGGGTTTTGCTTAATCCACCCTCCCCTTCGCACTCAAAAGTGAATTCTAAACAAGCCTGGGTCACCAAGGCTCTTACGACTCCTACTGCTGACTGAGGTACGGTACTGAAAACCCAGCTGGAACCTGCCAGAAGCTCCCAATGTGAGAGCACATCCAAAAAGAAATGTCAAGTCAGGAAAACAATCCAGCCACATGGCAACGTATCTTCCTACATTGGACCCTTGTTTATAGACTTACAACTAGCAAGGCCTGGACTACTATCATGCTCTTCCATCACAAACGGACTAATATAAAATTTGACCTTGTCCTGAGAGGGAGACAAACCGTAAGAGACTCTTAATCTCAGGAAACAAACTGAGGGTTGCTGGAGTGGAGGGGGGTGGGAGGGATGGGGTGGCTGGGTGACGGACGCTGGGGAGGGTATGTGCTATGGGGAGTGCTGTGAATTGTGTAAGACTGATGATGAATCACAGACCTGTACCCCTGAAACAAATAATACATTATATGTTAATAAAAAAATAAAAAATCAATTTGACTTTGTCCTAAATAGAGTAGCAACTCAAAGGAGGCCAGGGGCATAGTGACATAACAAGAGGGAGGGTCCAAACATATCTGTTGTGGCATTGGAAATGGACAGGCTTATGACGTCATGTCATGGAGAAGGCATTAAGGGTGATCACTAGCAGCATTCCTACAGGGAACACTGAAGTGTGCATGTGTGCATGTGAGTGTGCGTGCGTGTGTGTGTGTATGTGTGTGTGTGTACACACCAAAACTCTCATCAGCAAGGAAATGCATCACCGAGTCAGGTTAATTGAAGTAGAGCATTTTCTTTCCTGGAAAATAAGCCGAGGCAAATCTCACGGCATCACTTTGATTGATCTCCTCTTTTGCATTTCATGAGAGCCAAATGCAGAGAGCTAGGTGGCGTGTAAGGAGCGCTCTCTGTTGAGTATGCCTTTCCTACTAAACAATACTTGCATGTCACCCAAAAATGTTCCAGCAGTGGTGAGAGGCAAACAGTCTGACTCAACCAACATTCTGACTCTTTACATTTTGAAGACAAACCTTACAAATGTCAAAATATGTGACTGCCTTTAATATTTTATGAGTTTATTCAGTTAAAAACGCAAATGGCCTTTCTAAAGGGTAGCAGGATGACACTTAATCATGAGTGAGTTTATCACCGTGGAATCACTATTTGCCCTCAGAAATCCTCAAGTCAGAAACCAGAAATCAGGGAATCACGAACCTGCAGGAAAAAGAGGAGACTGCAGGAGTCTGAGGCGCTGGTTGAGAAACTACATCTGCTGCTGTCTTGAAACCAAAAGGCGGGCTGTAATTGATTTACTGGGTTATCAGATAGTTAAAAAAAAAAAAAATACGATGCACTGGTATACACAGTGTTGTGCTCTGAACTTTATAAATGTGAGCCTCCAAATGTGCTAGAGGACACAGCCCAGGAGAGCATCCACAGAATGCTTTATATTTCCTCCTATAAGGCACATGTAACAATCACAATTTTGTCACACCAAGAATTATACTCCCCAATTTGACTTCTCCCTGGACTCCATTCACATCTCTCTGCTGCATCTCAGGAAATGGCAAGGAGCAGAGTTCTCAGAGAGAGAGATGGAAAAATCAACCACAGAGCCAAGAAGCACTGCAACTAAGAAGAGCTATGGCCTCTTGGTTACCTTGCATGCACGCTACGGAAGAGGGCGCGTGACACCCCCGAACCCCAAACCTCTGGGGATAACATGCCATCTTTTGTGCATCTGATTAGCTTGACCTCTTCAAGAGGACTGTTGTTCTAGAAATCCTGAGCCCTCTCCTTCCTTGGCCCCCAGTGTTATTCAAAGAATACATGCACATGATATAGCTGAAGTGAGCACCATAATCCGTGGTCACAAGCTGATTAAATGACCCATATGGATATGTTACTTAAGACCCTGGCCTCATTAATACCGCGTTTCCAACAAATTCACAAGCCACAGACTTAATCAACCACAGAGGTAGAGATGTGTTAAAATCTACTTTAACAATCTCGAAATGCAAGAACTCAGTCAAATCCAACAAAGTTTACATACAAATAAGATGCAGGTGGTCAGGGACTGCCTCATTTGGGTGACTGACATCTGTCATGGGGACACTGGAAAAGATTCTGCTGATACCAGAGGGGCCAACTCCCTTCTTCTAGTCTAATCGTTACTGGAAAGGGTTACTCTAAAAAGGTATAAAGTGGATTCAAATGCTTTCCTAAATAAAGCTTTTTTTCCCTCCCCTTCTCCTCCTTAATACATTCCAGAATGATACAATGCTTTACCCAACACAAATTAAAGTTTAAATCTTGATCTTTGTGCAGAGATTGCCTTGGCAACCTCAAATTTTCTGGAATGGGAGTCACACCACAGGATAAAGAAAACCGCATAAATGTATTAGTACAAATCAGAATTACAAACCTTTACATGAATCATCCTCAATCGGCTGTTTGAAAGCTGTTATATCACTGAAAGTGCAAAGAAATAAAACCACTTTATCCTGTTCATTTCGAATTGGAGCAATTTTCACAAAGAACCACACAGGTGTCCCTGCAAGAAATATCAAAAGGTTGGTCAGTAATTTGCATTCTCACGTGAGCGGTGCTGGAATAAAAACTTGGGAATGAACAGGTACAAATATTAATTCATTTTTAAATGGTTTCATTCCTTTAGGTGCTGGGATATCATACCATGAATTCCTCTTCTTGCTGGGATAAAAAACTTTCACAGTGACTATTTGGCAGGGATTTTCTTCGGTTCAAATATTTTGTAAGTGTATATCTCTTAACCCTTGCAAAATTACTAGAAAATGGGTTGAAAATCCCTCCTGATCTTATGGAAGTTACTAAGGTACAGAAACCTAAATACTCACCTTAGTGACCATGCAGTAGACAAGTAAAGAGTAGGGACAAGGATGGGCATTGCCAACCATGGCCAGCAAACCACTGCAAACTCAAAATTTCCATTGCTAAAGGGCCCCAGTGTCAAAATCCAGTTTGGGCATCCATCAATTTGACTCACATGCTCAATCAACCATGGGCCAGAAACTGTATTTCTAAGTCTCTCTCCCCAAATTAAAAACCGAAAAGGTCCAAAGCAATGGGGCAGATGACAACGTGCTGAAAAAGGAAGAGACCCATCACAATCATTCTCCCAGCAAAGCCTCCCTCAAAAAAGAAGGTTTCCAGGGGGCTTTGGGCTGTGTTTACATTAGTGCTTTAGGAAGCTCAACCACTGTGTTTCAACTTCCAATCCTTATTCCTGAGCGAAAACAGGGAATAAATGAGCTCTTCCACAGCACTGCTCTAATTCACACAACAAGAAGGTGGGCAGGACTCATCTGACTAACTTTTCCAAGAGGGCACCCACTCAGGTATCTATGGCTAAGTATCTATACAAAGTCAGTGTCTGGCTTCCAAAAAAGAATGAGGGAAAACAAGTGTTTTCTACCTATAGAAGACATCCTAACAAGCCACACCAATCAACTCTGTGATGCAAAATTAAATGAGACACAAAGAAATGGTAAGTTCTTCTCCATCTAGTTCTCACATCTCAGGTCCTTAAACAGCACCTGGGATATAAGGACTTAACTATTTGCTGAATTTGCAGAACTGGGATAATACTTTACATGCTATTTTATTTTATTTTATTTTTAAAGATTTTATTTATTTATTTGACAGTGAGAGAGAGAGAGAGAAAGAGCACACAAGCAGGGGGAGTGGGAGAGGGAGAAGCAGGCTTCCCGCCAAGCAGCGAGCCCAATGCGGGGCTCGATCCCAGGACCCCGGGACCATGACCTGAGCCAAAGGCAGACACTTAACTGACTGAGCCACCCAGGCGCCCCTTACATGCTGTTTTATAACCATTTTCAAGTTAAAATACAGTAAGTAGTTCTCCATGTTAAGAATTAAGAGAAGCTTCCTGGGGCGCCTGGGTGGCTCAGTCGGTTAAGCGTCTGCCTTCGGCTCAGGTCATGATCCCAGAGCCCTGGGATCAAGCCCCGAGTCAGGATCCCTGCTCAGCAGGGAGCCTGCTTCTCCCTCTCTCTCTGCCACTCCCCGTTTGTGTGCGCTCTCTCTCTCTTTCTCTGCGCCAAATAAATAAATAAAATCTTAAAAAAAAAAAAAAAGAATTAGAGAAGCCACCTATATACCAGGTACTGTGTTCAGCATTTTACATGTATTATTTTATCTCAAGATAGTAAGCAAACAACTCACTGAATCTTGGGAGATGTAAATAAATCCCCAAGGGGTACCTCTAGGTCTCTCTGCAGGGAATCACAGCAAACTCCATACTATACTACAACATGGACAGACAGACATCTGTGATTGACCTTAGGATTAACCAATCCAACTTAACAATAACCAGCTTACATATCTGGCTATACCACTCATTCATATAGAAGCATAAATAACCATAAAATATACAGTCAAGCAGGCAGCAAATAGATCAGACGGGAATATATTCTGCTTAAATCTTCATTATCTATACATTCATCCATAGCTAACTTTAATCCTCTGCCGATTTTCCTGTTCCATAATTTTCAGCTGCCAGTTTCTGGGTGCTCTTAGAAGACAAACAGGTTATAATGTCACCTGAAGAAAAACATGTTTTGAAAGAAAAATCCACCATACAAAAATCACACATAGCATTCTAAAATCAAGAAGAATATGGCCTTTGAATCACCTACTGTTTTTGAAAGGTCTGTGTTACTACCCCTCCCAGGTCCCTGCTCAGAACCTGTGGGATTTTAAACCATTTTCAATTAAGCAACAGAAAACTCAAAATAAAGCATCACACCAATTGAGCCTACGTACCCACAGTCTTCCCTTATATCCTAGCTGGTGAGACAAAAAGCAAACAAATCAAAAAAACATTTTCTTTCTGCTCTTAAAAAAAAAAAATTACTTAAGCAATTTTTTTTCAGATGGTAAACCAGAAAACACTGCTAATTTATCAAACCAGTAAGGAATGAGAGGAGATGCCCCCCACTCATGAGGGCTAATCCCAAGAGCCCCTGGAACCGTAACCTTCCCAGCTGCCACCTACGGGCCATCCACTGCGCTCTATCAGCTGGGCCCCATGCCTGTGAAATTTTCGAGTTGGGACTGTGTCATCTAATCTTGATATTCCATTTATGACTCCTGGGATTGATGATGTACCCCACACCTCCCAGATCACGAGAGCCTACTGGTGGGAGGCCTTTTTCATTTTACTACAGTTCAAGCTCATCTTGAATTCCGTCCCCCCCCACCATTTCTACAGGTCAATCTGTTTAAAGCTGTGTGCTTCTCTCCACCAAACTGAGCCCAGTGCTTCCTCTAGAAACGTTCCCTGATTAAACACATGCTATTCCGATAATTTCTTTTCAGGAAATACATATGAATCTTATACCAAAAATTCATATAGTCAGGATGCATGGCCTTAGAGCATGTCTCCAGCTAATCAGTTGGGCTTATTGAGGGAGGGAACCTCCTACTCCCTGATCTGGTGTTTCCGGGTGGAGAAACAGATCTCAAAGGAATTCTCGGGTCTTTTCCCTGGGTTGGTCATTCAGGGGTTAAGAATTGGACATGTGTAGCTCAACCACTTCTCTTCATCTGCTTTCTTAGAGATGAATCCGCAAACCCACACCCTGCTCTGCTTCACCATTCTATAGGTGTTAGGGGAGAAGACAAAAGGGCAGGGGAATGACCGATAGGAGGAGAAGCCCGCGGTTCTCCAGGGCTACCTATGCTGGGTGGGGAAGTCTGTCTGATTCTAGGATTCACTTTTAGAAACTTACTTGCACTTTTAGAAAGTTACTTGACCACATACATAAAGTACATTCTCTAGGATCAGCTTTGCTGGTCAAGAAGGGGAAATTTTAACCTCCATTTGCCTGAAGACTGAATCTCTCTCAATTGCTTCTGATCACAGGCAAGGAAAGAAAGTGCTAAGTGATGTTTCCCTTCCAACCTTAACAGTGGCGGGCTCTTTCCTTAAATAGACCACAATTCACTCTGGGGCAAGAGATCTGAGGTTTCTCTGTCTCATCACCCTGCAGGCCTGTGTAGTGCAATGTTATACATAGGGTCACACGAGGCTATTACATCGCTCAACTCCAGAAGGCGCCATCCTGGAATTGGGAAACTCAACGCCCTTGGTGGGGCAGCTACTCTAGGGATACCTGCTGAGTTCCAAAGAAATAAATCCTACTTCCAGTGTCTTCAGAGTCACTCAGACCTGTCTCTCTCCCAAATTAGCATTCCTTACACACTCTAGGAAAGCAAGCAGAATGGGCTTAAATTTTCGTTTCTGCAATTCTTTCAAAGGAGAACATGAATCCCACCTAGGTGGCACAGACTAGTAATTTCAACCTTTTACTCTTTTTTTTTTTTTAAGATTTTATTTATTTATTTGAGAGAGAGAATGAGATAGAGATAGAGAGAGCATGAGAGGGGGGAGGGTCAGAGGGAGAAGCAGACTCCCTGCCGAGCAGGGAGCCCGATGCGGGACTCGATCCCGGGACTCCAGGATCATGACCTGAGCCGAAGGCAGTCGCTTAACCAACTGAGCCACCCAGGCGCCCTCAACCTTCTACTCTTAAGAACAAAGCAATTTTAACTAGTGAAACATTACTCAAAGTCTCAATATATGAAACAGGTGCTTCAAGTGAACGCAGGCTGCCCAGCGCCTGGAGCCCCACTCACTCAGCTTCTCTTCCACCCCTCTCGATGCCCCCAAGGATAGTCAGGAGCCCTTTGGCTCCATTCAGATATAGACCTGCCCAGAGGCAGAGGCCAGGGCAGGTGGCCTCCAGGGATCTCCCCGAGAGAGCCCAGATTCTGGACTACAGTTCATTCCAACAAGATAACAAGAGGCATTGCAAGCACAAATATTCACATATACAGACACAAAATCAGGAAGACGGGGTTAAAATTCTGCCTCTGCACCCAAGTGCCTACAGTGGGCAAATTGAGAAAAGCAAGTATTTGATGTCCTGTTTCTGCAAAAAGGACAAAGGGTGAATGATAAATAAAGGAAGATCAATGCACAAATCCAGGAAAAACATAGCAAAGGCTTATGGCAAAGGCAGGTGCTGCTGGGAGAGCCGGTCTTTCCTGGCTGAGGGTGCCAGTGGAGGGGCAGCTCCAGGTCAGGCCCCTCCTCCTGCTCACTCTGTGATCTGTGATTCTCATCCCTTACTAGCTGCCTCGGGTCACGTAGTAATGAACCTGACAACTTGACATGGCCATCGGGTTTCTCAACCCCAGTAGTCAGATAACAAAAAAGCAAGGCTCGGCTGTACAAGAGATTTTTTTGGCCTCCGTTAGGCTTCTTCCTACCCTGGTACTCTCCGTACCCAGGCAGCCAGGTATCCAAGCCATATTCAACAGCAATGGAATTGACCTCCAATCACTGGCTCATGGGAATGGCTGCAACGTGTTGGGCTGTTCAGATGACGGGTCCAGAAACTAGACTAGGGAATGGCGGCCTCCCCTAGGAAACAGACCGGTTGGTCTCAGGGCACCTTCACTGAGACAAATGACAAGTCCAGAGAGTCTGAG